GTAGAATGGCAGTGTTAAGTGGTGGCTCTGGCAGGAGTGGGGAGTGCGGAGAACCAAATGTTTCCTCTTTAGAGATGGTTTGATCCCTTATTCTACTCCAAAATGTGCCTTACACTGGTTTTGGTGGAGTATCTGTGTTCCTTGGGTTTCCTAATGCTACACCTGTCAAATGGGTGCACTTCTAGATGCACCTACAGCTTAGTGCTCTGAAACAGTATTTCTGCTTTTGAGTCATGGTTGCTGTAGTTCTAAGAAAAAAATCTTATGACCTTCAAGAGTTGGGGGAAGTTTTTTGAAGTATTAGGCACTTGACATATTGATACTGATTTCCTCTCTTAAAGATCAGCCTAACTATTTCTTGTGTTTGGAAGAAGAAATAAAATAGCTTCAGCCTTCTGTGTTTAAAAACTTATTGGAATGTGTGTCTATAAGGAACTCAAGGGAAAATTGGCATTTACATGACAACTTGAACATCTCTTCTTGATTCAGTGGTGTGAAAAGCATGCTGATAGCTTGGCCCTGCAATACCACAACTCAAAAAAAAAAAAAAAAAAAAAAAAAACACCTCACCAAATCATTTTCTTTTGGAGTAATTTGCCTTTACCATGGTTGTAGTTGCTTTCCCACGTGTTACACGTTCATAAAACCTTGTTGATTATGATGTGTCCACTTTGGTATGTCTATAAATGGAATAAAGGGATAAATGTAGATCAGACTGAGGTTTTCTTTTGTATGCCATTATTATTAGAGAAAACGTGGAAACAGGTTTAAGGGGAAACTGTTGCAGAAGCCTTTATTTAAATTACTTAAAGTAAAACTTACTTTTTGCAAGACTCTCCTTTCAAAAGCGCATATAGGATCGTTTGCATGGCTGGGCAAAAATGTATCTTTTTATGCTCCCAAGCATTTTAATGGGGATGTTACTCAATTTAAGATCTCACTGACTGTGATATTGAAGTCAGTGTGTGCCTTCTATTCAAATGAAATCTATCTTGAAGCAAAGTGATAGTCTGTAGAATTTCCACATAAAATGTTAGCTGTTTCCAGGAATGAATGACGGTGCGTTTCACCTTGATCAGGAATGCAGTGAAGGCAGCAATGAGGGTAATAGCATGTTACAGGATGTTCTGCTTCTGTAATCTCAATGTAAAAGTTTATCGTTTTTTTGACCTTCTGATTCAGTGTAATGACGTCCATACAAGACAAAAGTTGGTATTACTATTAAGCTTCTGTAACTGTCTACAAACAAGTTTGCAGTAAATTCTTTAGTACTGACATGCTTTTATGTGACATAAGTAAAGTTGTTATACTTCAAACTATTTCTGAAGACTACTGAAAAGTTTAATTTTCTTAACTGTACTTGGCCGTGAGTCTAAGGAAAAGTGACAAGGGAAGAATGGGTGGCAAGAATACACAGCAGGAGACTCTGTAAGTGATAAATTCTGTAAATGTTGGGCGGG